AGTGCCAGCCCCCCGGGTCCAGCCGCAGGCTGTTTGCGCGGGCCCGAGCACCAACGCACAGAGACGGGCTCGCACGAGGGCGTAGTTACAAAGGAAAGGAACAGGAGGGGAAGGTGGGGGGAATCCGCTTATTCGGCCATTCTACTACCGCGGAGGGTGGCATTCTGAGGAGGGCGCGGTGCCAGTGGGTCTCCCGGAGGGTCTGCGTACCATTTTCCGCCGCTCGCTTGAGGTTCTCTATCATTGTGTCATAGTGAATCCGGCACAGCACTTTCTCTTCCACCAGGCCAAACTCCTCGCCCGTCGACAGCTGCCTTTGAACCAGGGAAGCAAACTGCAAACTCTCTCTGCAGTGGAAACCACCTCAAGCCAGGGCCCCCCGGGTCCAGCCGCAGGCTGTTTGCGCGGGCCCGAGCACCAACGCACAGAGACGGGCTCGCACGAGGGCGTAGTTACCTAGGAAAGGAACAGGAGGGGAAGGTGGGGGGAATCCGCTTATTCGGCCATTCTACTACCGCGGAGGGTGGCATTCTGAGGAGGGCGCGGTGCCAGTGGGTCTCCCGGAGGGTCTGCGTACCATTTTCCGCCGCTCGCTTGAGGTTCTCTATCATTGTGTCATAGTGAATCCGGCACAGCACTTTCTCTTCCACCAGGCCAAACTCCTCGCCCGTCGACAGCTGCCTTTTACAGGAGAAGCAGGCGAAGCAGGCGAGATGGTAGGCGTTGCCGCGGGCTCTCCTGACCCAGTCGCTGGCATAGATCTGCCTGCCGCAGCGGGCACACTTTGTACCAAAGCGACTGGAAGGGGGGAAAAAAGAAAGACACACAGAGAGAAAGGGTGAGCACCGAGGCAGGGCCCGAGCCGTTCCTCTGTATGACGGCAGGGCCCAGGCCCCCACCCCCATGCGCGGACACAGCAGAGATGCCTCAGAGAGCTGCCTAGGAGGGGAAAGCAATGCTGAGGGAGGCCAGATGTCTGGCACCGGCGAGGGGCAGCACTTCTCCGCGCCGCCCTGGGTTCATGTGAAGAGAGGGCTCTAAACACAGGCCGGCCTCACCGGGACCAGAGTAAACACCTCTTCCCTTGCTAGGCCCCCACCCCCATGCGCGGACACAGCAGAGATGCCTCAGAGAGCTGCCTAGGAGGGGAAAGCAATGCTGAGGGAGGCCAGATGTCTGGCACCGGCGAGGGGCAGCACTTCTCCGCGCCGCCCTGGGTTCATGTGAAGAGAGGGCTCTAAACACAGGCCGGCCTCACCGGGACCAGAGTAAACACCTCTTCCCTTGCTGGACGCAGCATTTCTGTTGCTGCGGGTAGGCGAGAGACAAGGGGCGGGAGGTGAACTATCTGTTAGTGACCCCCCTTCTGTGAGGGAGAAGGGAACGCCTCCAGGCGCGCCCAGGTGCAGGGCCGCATTATGACTTCCGTGGGCCCCTTCCTCCATAAAAAAAAAAATATTAAAAATTATTTTTGAAATAACTTTAAATACTTCAACATTTTTTTTTCTGTGTTAGGCAAAATTGAACAGATTTTCCTAAAAGTTTCATTTTTTTCTGACGTGAGAAGAAAATGAAAACCTTTTCTTCGACCCTTAAAGTTCATTTTTTTCCTTCTGATTTGAAAAGAAATTAAAACATTTTCGTGGGCCCCTAAAAGTAGCGTGGGCCCTAGGCACGGTGCCGACTGTGCCTAATGGAGAAGTCGGCCCTGCCCGGGTGAGTCTTGAAGCAGCTCAGAGGCTTCTCTCTCTCCCTCCCACCAGTGAGTCTGATAAAAACGATTCCCTCCCCCACGCTGTCTCACTATTGACGCAGGCCTTATCGCAGTGAGGGGCGACCCGAGGCGAAGGCTGCATACGGCTCACCGGGGTTCTCTGTGTGGCCCGCGTGTCATTTTGTTTCCTGTGGCCCGTGCACAGGGTCGCCAGATTCCCCATTTCCACCCGCATGGTTTTTTTCCTGTCAGTATGACTACAGTGACCGGCACATAAAGCCAGGGCAGCTGCAGTGACGGGCTGGTGGCACACGGCACGGGCTGTGAGAAAGCCAGGCGCCCCCTCTGCAGCCACTCAAAATGCAGCTACGGTCCCATCGACCCAGCCCGCACATTCTAGGGACGCCAGCGCAGGTAACAAAACCACCCTGTCCTGGGGAAACCGTCTCGGTTACAACAATCTTACGGCCCCCTGAGAGGAAAGAGGCCCACTCCTGCAGCCTGCTCACTAGCCTCATGGTTTATCGCCTGTTCAGCACTGTGTCACCAGAGGGCCCAAGCTTTCTCAAGTGTTTCTCAAGCTTTTTTTTTTTTTATAAAGTACCCCTTTAAAAAAAATGTATACATATCCCCAGTCCCTACAGTTTTCAGACACACAACCATTTCTTCTACTATTGAAACACGTTTGTTTAAACAACTTATTCGTAGCCAGGTGAGAACATAATAAAGCGCTGTAAAACTTAAAACAAAAATTCAGTTTTCTCCAAATTTCAGTTGTGTTGACATATACCCACCCCCCACCCCCAGAATTCTCTCAAGTACCCCTAAAGGGGTTGAAAAACACTGGCCCAAAAGACACGGGCAACACTGCAAGACAGAACCTTGAGCTAGTAACTGTTCACAGGGCACTAAGCTGGCAAAGCAAAGCAGGGGTCCAGGAGACAGATTTGTTTCAGGGTCCTTCAGCCTTTAGCAGAGATCGGAGAAGCTCACGTGTATTAATCTATTAAGAGTTCCAGAGACATCTCAGCCCCTCCCCAGGAGTCTAGGTCCATGCCAGAAATCCACCATAGATGCTGGCCATCTCAGCTGACAGGCTAGGAATGGGCCAGAGAGACTCAGTCTCCCCTGCCACACACACACACACGCCCAGGGATAGGTGCCTTCCCAGAAAGGGGCAACATTTATGGTGCTACCTGGGCTGGGCCATTTCTTCCCGGAGGCTTGTTCACTCCAAAAAACAATCTGCTCTCAAAGAAATCAATGCGCCCCCTCCGCCTGATGAAATGCTGACCCATGGTTGGTTGCTGTTGACTTCAGTGGGGGCCAGATGTCACCCGTACCATCCCACGGGGCTCTGGTGAGAGGCTGTGATAGCGCGTTGGGGTTTTCCCATTTCCTGCACCCCCATAATGGCACGGACAGACTCCACCAGCCAGTAGAACAGAGGGTGTTTATTGCATCTCCAGGATAGCACAGCACAGCACAGATGTAATCTGATTACAGGGCAGGCCTAGGATACCTCAGCCCCCCTTGAGATGGGGGAGACTGGGCCCCTAAATTCCAGCCCCTTTCCCTAGGCTGTCTCCTCCATGATACCAGACAGAAACTAACTCCCTCACTTCCAGCCCTGCCTCCAGCCAGGGCTCCACTTCCCCTCTTCCCATTGTTTCGCTCCCTTGGAGATAACTGGTCAGACAGGTTCGAAGCCCCCTTGCATAATGACTCATCCCCTGCCTTGCGGGGCCATGCTGCACACAGCAGCCAGTGGAGGTCACTCACAACCCACTGCCCAGCATAGCAACCAGCAAGGTACCCCCCACTACGTCACAAAGGCCAACTCCAGAAACACTTAAAATGATTAGATCCAAACAGTTCAATGAGAATCGGAAAGGTCCTGCCGTTCAAAGCCGAGCAAAATGGCCAGGCAAGATAGTGACCTCCATAGCTTTCTCAGGGTCAGAGACTCAGGCTATGTCTAGACTACATAAAATTAGACTACCCGACATAGTCAATGAAGCGGGGATTTAAATATCCCCGGCTTCATTATAATAAAAATGGCCGCCGCACTGTGCCGGCTCAGCTGATCGTCGGCACAGCGCGCAAGTCAAGACGTGGATCGGTCGGCAAGGG